GATAATGTTAAAGTTGATGTTTGGTTATATTCAAAACTGAAGTTGTTTAACCTTTCCTCCAAATTCTCTGACAATAATTTGAAATCAAATCAGATGTGCCAGCAGTGGCTATCAATATAGAAAATTTTAAGACATCATAAATGTGGGGGGGTTTTTGTTTTGTTTTTTAATTTATTCCCTTGAATGGTATTTGGGAAAAAGGTGTGCCATAAAACCAACCAGTAGATGAACAATTAGACCATTGAAACCTGAGTACATTGTTTACACATTTATCATATCTCAATTTAAAGTCAGTATCTTGGTGAATTTAACATTGAAAATCATCAATGCTTATTCTAAGTTATTAAAACTCATTTGGTCAGTCTGACACTTTTTTTCACAGCATAAAGAAAATCACAACGAGGTCACATTAGGACAGGCACCAGCTATAAAGAAACGACAGAAACAGGTTTAATGGTTTCCACACACGTCTGTCCCATAAAACACTTAACATCAGTAACCTATCAATTCTTTATCATACATAAAGATTTTCATTCTTTAGCCAGACAGACAAAACCGTAGCATATAGAGTTGTGGGAGAACAATTTAGGGAAGCCATTAAAAAATCATACAACATGATTGAAGTCCCACCAAGTTTTATGAAGCATAAAAACACACATATTCTGACATGAAATGATTTTCATGTACCTGATACTTTATGACAACATTATGAGCATACTTCAGTACTGACATTTATATGTGAAGGAATGCAACGGCTTCACATTTCAAAAACTTGTCCAGTAAATTAATATTTGCTTTAAAATCAAATACATGTATAGTTTATTTAACTTATTTAATATAAGTATATTTACTGGGATAAACTGAAATACTTAGTAGCCAAATAACTTAGTGAGACTGTAACCATAAAGTTTACTTTATAAAAACTAAAAAAAAACATTTCCATCAAACTTAATGTAACCAAAAGTGATATTAGCCTTTGCCACCAGTAAAGTGTCAGGCCAGTATTTTACCAGGCTCCGTACTGTTGACTGAACAACTTGAAAATTTCTTCTTAGCATCCTCAGAATTGAAAATGTACTGTTCCCAAAACTGAATCTGGACAAGCCCTGTACTCTATTAAAGAATCTTGGCATATTAAGGGATAAAATCCCTTGATTTTGTAATCTGGCAGTGGTAGGAGAGGATTATGCCCTTATTCTGTGAAAAGAAACAATCTTGCTGGATTGATAAATAAATTCATGATGCCAATTCTGTATATACATGGAAGAATTTATAATACTTTCATTAGTCACAAGAGACAGCGTTTGTAACAATATTATTCTAAGGTGATTGAGAAATTATTACTTTTTTCATTGATTTTCATGAACAGAAACCAATCTACCTTGTCTAACATTCATATTATCATTAATAATTTAAAGTTAAAGCAACTCTTAAAAGAAATAACTAATACAGACAAAACCTACAGTTACTAATGAATATTCACAAATCCTGCCATATGATAGTAACAAATGACTTTTGCAAAGACTCAAACTAAGGTGCGGCGAACAGTAACAGTTGTCAGCGTTAAAAACATGGCGAAAAAAAAAAATCCGCATGAACTCTGTGAGGGTAAGAAATAACGGCTGGTAGTTGTTGTTTTTGTTCAAAAGAAGCAATTACTACAGGTAAGTTGGAACACATACTACCTGTAAATAATAATTGTTCAGCTGTTATTAATATTTATGGCACAAGAATACAAGTTCCTGCAGACTTCAAAGAGGTTCTCAAGTGTTCCACACTTGATGTTAAATACGACCTCTGAACTGGCTGGCCAATAGTACTGAGATTTCATATAACTTTGTTTAAACAAGTCTTCACTAATTTGTCTTTTACAAGATCATGTAAAGTTTACTGTTTGTTCTTCAATGTGACAAATCAGGTTCTAAGTTCAAAGTAAACTCCATCATAAATAATGCCAGTGATATTAACAGTAGATTTTCAGACAGCATTTTAGTTCCTAATCATAAAATAAGGGATGAACTTAATACTAAATATCATGTAACAAAAATAAAGGAATGGCTGATAGTTTAATGGCTAAGTTGTGACAACCAGTTGACGAGTTGTTTTGACTGCAAGTAACTAAAAACATGGTTTTAGCTTGATTATGAAGAAAATTTTGAGCTGATTTTAGCCACTCTTGAGTTTTTCAGAGAGCATTTAGTTCTTATTATAACAAAAGGGTCACTAACTTATATTCTAACACTACATGATGTATTTCCAAAAAATAAAGGAACAGCCAGTTGTGTCGACCAGTTGACGGGTTGTTTCTTAACTCTGAATGAATCCCAGCATGTTTTCTGCAATCAACTTCTCCACATGTTGAAGTTTAAACATCATTATTTAAGCATGATTGTGAAGAAATCTTGATGATTCGTGAGTGGAGCAAACAAAGTGGAAATATGGCTGTCACCAAGTAGGACTTAAACCCATGACCCCTGTGCCGAGTGTCCAATACCTTTTACAATATCTATAGGCAACCCCATATGTCCTTACTTGTATGTTGATCAGTACTGGAGACCTGTAGATGCACACATGTACAAGCTAGCAAAATCTACTGACTACAGACTCACTGTACAGAACAATGTACTGAATGCTGATGTATTCACTTCAATATGAGAAATACTGTAATGAAGCTGAGCCTCTTCTTTAAAGGGTGGGTGGTTTCAGGTTATGTAATCTAAACCACTAGCTAACCATTTTTAAACATTAAACAATTTAAATCAGATTGTTAAAAAAACCTTTGGCTTTTATGTGCTTACAGTTTAAATACCATGGAATCGGTCCAAGTGGGTGTTGATAAAGAAATATTATATGTTTCTTCATACCTTATAGAACAATTAGAGAAATGAGCCAGGTAATTCTTTGGCTCCACCATCAAAGAAACAGGTGCTCATTTTCTGTTATCATCTGCCTATTAAGAACTAGACCATTGTTAATGCTTGTAATGCATCTTGGGAGAAAAAAACACTAGAAATTACACAGCATTAGATAAACAGTATGCCTGAAAGCTGTCTGTTCACCTTTACTATATTCAGTTCAATTTTGAAACAATATGAAGAAAGATCCAAAGTGCTTTTTTAAGAGGGGAAACATTCTTTTACAGAAATCCCTGTAAGAAATGTTTTTTTTATAATCTATAAATTTATCATCATCATCATAATCATCATCATTAGCACAATCACCATCATCATTGTCACCATCATCATCATCGTCATTGTCCTCATTATCATTATCATCATCATTGTCCTCATTACCGTCATCGTTGTCATCATCATCACCACCTCCACCACCATCATCATCATCCTTTTCCTTATCATCATCATTACTAATAATCCTCATTGTCAACATGACAATAGCTATTACATTGACTTCATCAAAATCATCACTGTCATCATCAACAACACAACCATCATCATCTTCATCCATAATTTATCATCATGTATCATCATCATCATTATTGATGATAAAAGTCATTAAGATTATGAGATACCATCACAATAAATTTACTATCAGGCAAGACAATTGTGGCTTCAGATCAAGACACCATTACAGACAAGCCACCTAAAATCATCAGTAACAAATAATTCAAAGTGTTGGTAACTTTAACCGATATCTGTGTCCTACTGAGTCCGTCCCCTATATAAAATATTCTTCATTTTACATGATTAAGGATGAGTAATGTTTATACCAAACTTTTCATACAGTGCTTTTTTTGCCACCATCATATTAAAGTTGTTAAGTGTAACACTATAGCTTTTAGCTTTCCATGATCAATCATTCTATGTTATACACTTGACATGGGGTTTCATTATGGCCCAAGCTGATAGAAAAAAAAGTTTCATAATGAAATATCAAGTTGCAAAAAATTCTTACTCTAATTTTGAGTTATGTGAAACTAGCCCAGGCTTGTATTTCCATTTAACTTATTTTTTTTTCAAAGATGACTTTAGAAAACAACTGCTTTTGTTAAATGGGTTAAAAAAAAACAAGATTCTGGGCAGGGGGGATTAGACAATGGGCTGAAATATTTATACTTGTATCTTTTCACTGAATCTCTGTATAGCTTGTTTATTTAACTCCTGACTCTTTTCAAATTATGTTAAATGGATACAAAGATTCTGAACATCATTATCAATGAAAAAATTTTTACTATCAATAAACTGCCTTTAGGACTATTTCAAAATATTTCTTAATAACTATTTAAACACAAACAATAATTGATCGCAAACAAATTTCAAAAGTAAAATATTTTAAAAATCAAACTTAAAATGAATATGAAACCATGCATACAAGGTACACAATAGAAACCGCATAAAGTTTCCACATTTGTCCAGTAATCATAAAATAAAGAGCACTTAAAGCACCGTTTAATCACAGTTTAAGCGTTGCCCATTCACCTTTGACCTAATCGAAATGCCAGATAAAAGGCCATGAGAGCATTCCTGCGCCTACTTGAATATGACTGGCTTCAATGGGCAACAATACGTACTCAAACAGAACATTATTGCAAAGCATTATGGGTACATTAGAAGCATTTCTCTGAGCTTCAGATGTCTCTATCCTTGCAAAGCTATCTGCTGATGCACGTAATGAATTCTGTCAATCAAAACTGGTGACAGATTGCCAAAATATATTAGTCCGCTACATTTCCCTTTTTATGAAGTGCGGTTTTCAAATTGAAATGACAGGTGACCTGAACTGCTGTACTGTCTTGACTGTGTATTTAGAAATTTTTCCCCTGCAATCCAACATAAGAGGAAGGCTGATAAATTCAATTTTCTCAATGATGCATCACTTTGAAAATGAATATGTTCACTTTTCATTTATTGCCATTCATCGTTTTGAAAGTAATTTCCAAGAAAATGAAGAAAATTGTAGTTTAAATTGTTCCAAGTCTGCAAACAGGTCATCAATCATGCCAGATCAGTTTTGTTCCAATCTATAAAGACAAAAGAACTTACCAATGTACTCGTTCCATGCCTTGTTTAGTTCTGAGTGGTGCGCTAGACAACCCTTCATCGTGTTAAGACAGTAATTATTACATGGCTTCGTCCTCGTAAGTCCGCCGCAATGTTGACAATACATCATCCTCGTCATACCGCGGGTACAGGCCTCCGTCGGCTTTATCTGTGAAAATCAAGAAAATATTCATATAATGAAAAAATATCTTACTCTATATATATAATATATATATATATATATATAAAGTTATATTCAGTTTCAACTGTAGCTGCATCCTAATGGCTAAGTGTCAGTTTTCACATTATGATATCCAGCGAAAATATTTATATTTAAACTATTATAACTATCTCTTTCACATTTATATGGCAAGTGATCAAATGTACTGTAAAATTGTGAAACAAGACATCTGTGGGTAATTTCTTGCACAAATGTGCATATTGATAGAGACCATCAACTTCATCCTAAGCTTAGCTTACAGAATGCGGTGTTCCTACCCAGGTGCCTCTTTATGCCTGAAAATATGCACGGAAGGGCACCTGAGGTCTTCCTCAACATAATAATTATATCATCCTTAGCTACCAGTGACAAACAATTCTTCAATATTCAATATTATTTACTTTATTGGTTTTTTTTAAAATTTATAGTAAAAGTCTTGAACATTTTACAACTCTCACAAACATAGTGTGTACATGTCACAATCTGCCTCATTAATTAAGTGGCTGCTTTTCCTCTGTATTTTATATTGTTTACTGTAATCTTTAAAATAATTACGTAAGGTTATTACAGGTTTTTTTTAAACTCATAATAGCATGGAACTGTGCAGTTTAAATAAGGATTGCACACAACACGCAACTTTTATGTCGTTACATTTTCCCCTGAGTACATACTCTTTTTCTCATTTGAAAAAAGAAACAAACAACTAAAAAAAACCCACACACTTTTTCAAAATGCAAATAAGATCATTTTCCTCGTTCCAATTTTTTAGCTGTTAAATTTTACAACGAAAAACAGAGTTAATGATTATATTCTGTAGTAATTTTACAGCTTGAGAACCAGTTTTAATAAATCTATATTACTAATAAAACAACCATTAACATTTTTGAGTATGCTTTTACAAATATGGCTGCACCTGTAAGGGGGGTACACTTGATTCTAGTTTGACAGAAAGTAAACACATTTTGATTATCCAAGGTTAACTTGTAAAGTTCTTATCCTACAAATCATGTCTACAATTTGATAAACAACTTTAGGTGCATGAGGCAAGCATTTTCTGATCACTGTACTAAATCTTATAATAAAATACTACAATAATGAAAATCTGGAATAACAAAAATAAACTGTCAGGGGAACAAATTTTGACCTTGACCTTTGACCTTGTTACCCAGCTATTATTTTAAAATATTGAAGCTGCTTGCTTAATGAATGACGAGCTGTCAATTATCTATTTTCGTAAAAATCTAAGGAATTTTGATTCTCAAAATACTTGAAATCTACAGAATTTCTAATCTAGAATTACTTAAAATCTATGGAAATTTTGATTTGCGAATTACGTAAAATCTAAAGAATTTTGATTTGCATTATATTACTTAATATCTAAGAAATTTTGATTTGCGAATTATTAAAATAAGACTGTCAACTGCTCACAGATGGCATGGACATTTTAACTAGTTGTCCTGACAAGGCCTGTCCAAGTAGTCCAATCAATGTTGACACCTGCGACAAGCCATCCTGGCTGACTATGATCCTTCATTCTGATGATGTAGTGCCCATAAAGACATGCCTATTGCCATCAGTATAGAGCCAAGCTTTCCTGCATAATTATCCTCTATAGCTAAAATTTTGTAAACCAAGGCACTTATTCTGAATCATTTCTTTGTGTTTTTGAAACTCAAATCTCTTTTAATTTCAATTGGACTGTTTCAAATGAAAAGCGAGTCCATTAGAAAAGTAAAACAGTATAATGCTTAATGGCGGGATAAGCATTTTACCTTAACATTGTTTGATGTACAACATACTGAAAATATTCAACCTAATTCAAGCTGTTTTATTTGATGAATGACCAAATTCTGGTATATATTTTTTTTCCTGTGGTATCATTCATGTTTGAGACAGGTTTTTTCCATCATAAACTTGATTCATTAACTTACAGACATTTACGAAGATCATGTGCAAGCCCTCAAATTTATCACCGTATACATCAACACTGTGTAGAAATGAAGATAAAAATGTTTCATATTTTCTACATCATCAAGACATTTTATTGCAGAAAAAATTCAAATTTCAGCCAGTAAATAACACTTATCTACATTCAGAGAAACATTTCAAATTCTGATGTGGAATGTGATTAAGCAAAAATCATGTGCAAGAAATTAAACTAAACCATTCTGGCGGCAAAAAAAGACCAGTCACTGCACAGTATGCACTGATATATCTGAGTTATAAACATTTAAGAGTTGCTTTTTTTTTAAGTTATAGTGGTCTGAAACAATCAATATTTACAATAAACTGCTGAATTATCACATTTGAACAGGACTTAGGGAAATTTTTCATCTTGTTCAGGTATTGAAGTAGCCGTTAAAGTTTTATAGCAAAAAAAACCTGCTAATTTTTTTTTTATTTTCCCAAATTTTTAACCCCAATTTTAAAATAAAACGGGGGTAATTTACTTAAAAAATTGAATTTAAAAATATTTTTTAATTTTCCAAGAAATTTTTTAAAAGGGAAATGGCCCAAACCCAAAAATTTTAATTTTCTGTTTAAATTTTTCAAAAATGAGCTTTTTGTACAAAAAATATAGAAACAATGTAAATCAAAAAATAAAAATAAAAGGCTTTACCCCAAAGACAGGATGAACCCCCACTCAAACTTGAAGAAACAAAAGGGCATAACTGTAAAAAGGTTTTTTCAAAGTCGGGGCCCCAATGCCCCCAAAATAAATTTTAAAAATCATCAAAAGGAAAAGTTTTGTGCCCCATTCCCTTCAGTATTTTTTTGGAGATCCCAAACTTGCATCCAAAATTTTCTGACAAACTGGTTTTTGAAAGGGTGAGCTAAAAAAAATTTAGGCTTTAAAAACCAACCCCCCCTTTTTATTTTTTAAGGAATGGGTAAAAAAGTTCCAAAAGAGGGGAATATTCGGGCCTTTTAAAATTAAAGGGGGGGAAAAAGGGAAAAAAATTAAATTTAAATCCTAAAACACTCTTTTTTAACTGCTTCACAAAAAAATTAAAAAATTTTGTAAAGGTTAATAATAGATAAAATTACAAACACCATCTTTTTTTCTTTAATGTCCCATTTTTAGCATGTAAAAACCCCAAAAAGGGAAATTCCATTTTTCAACCTCAAAAATTTTCAAAAAGTCCGGGCCCGATAGACTTTTTTTTCCCCTCCCTAAAACATCTTAATTTAATAAAAGTGTCCTGCAAGCAGATATATCTTGATAAAATGTCACTAGTATTAGTTCACATTGTTTAACACCACAGTAAATTGCTCATCACTGAGGCAGAAATTAATGTCAACTTCCCATAATGATAGTATAATCCAAAGTTTATTAATTAGCTCAGTTGCTACTCCTGGAATTTTGTCAATAAAGCATTCATGGACTTCAGGATACTGGCAATAAAAAGCCAAGATGGAGTTTCACTTGCTTTATTGCTAGAATCTGCACAAAGATCTGTAAAGTCTGACCAGGCTCTATGATGTTGTTTGTTGGTTTTTCAGTGACAACAACACTGTAATTTGTAAAGGTCATATATTATGACAACTTTCCTGAACTTTGGGGAAAGACCTCAGATGCCTCTTCATGCATTACTTACTGGTAAAACCACCATCTTACCGTAGGCTACAGCGCCTTAAAAGGGAAGGGAATCCCCAAGTCCCCCGTTTGATTTCCCAACCCCGCGGGAATTGGGGGGAAAGTAAATTGAAATCAGGCGACCTTAAAAAAAAACCTCCCACGTTTTCCCCCCTAAATAAACAAATGGGCTTTTAAGTTGATTAAAAAAAAAAACTTGCTTTAAATTTAACATGAGGTTTTTGGAGGATACAGATTTCTGGAAATTGGGGGAACAGTTTTTTAAACTTAAATCAAGAACAAACGGGTCTCAATTTGGGGGTAAACATATTTGGGGTTTTTAAATACTTTCCCCCCTTGCCAACAAATAATCCTGTGGGTTAAAATTTAAAAATATGAAAATTTTATATTTAAAACGTTCCATTCCCAAAATATCAAAAATCCCCGGGCCAAAAAGCAAAAACCCTCTAACAAAAATTTCCGAGCGCAATAAAAGCTCTTTTCACCTGAAGCTTCAATTTTTGTGGAATATCGCCAAATGGTTTTAAATCATCCATATGCCGTGTCACACAACTCAAGTAATCTTTTTCGAACACATACTGCGCATTCAATAACTCAAACATTTTTTGCAGAAGGTTCGTGAAGAAGTCATTTAAAATGTCCACAAGATTTAAATTTTCACCCTTATAATACAGTTTTAAATCACGGAAAAGTTTGGAAAACACTTCAGCATTTTGCTGATATAATAATCCGTAAGTCCGAACAAACATTTCATGTAAGTCTTTTTTGGAGTTCTCTAAAAGTTCTGTGAAAAACTCTGAAATTAGATAAAAGATATATTGTATAAATAAAATCCAGTTACACAGCAAAATTCTTACCAGAAGTATTTAAACATTAACATAATTATAACAAAAGCCATTCTCTTCCTTAAAACTAAAATCAATTATGGCTGCGAAATTTGGGGATATAAAGAATGAAACTATACGTATAATGTCTATGAACTGGAAACAAAATATTTTTCTAGTTTTTATAGCGTTCATATGACCATCCAAAAAAAAGGCTTCAAAAAGATAGTAAATGTAACTGTTACATAATTTTCCCCCAGAAAAAGAGTGAAATAGAACGAATTTCAGTTTTAAGAAATATATGATCATACCTTTTTCTTTAAATTAGCAGTTAAAAAAAAATTAAAAAGCCGGGCATAAAATGTTATTGTAGTAATGAAATGCCATTATGATCTCAAGGTAAATCAAATGTCTATTATGCATTACACAAAACTGTCAATAATAAATACATTGTACCAACTTTGAATATTATCATGTTATTCAACATTCTTCTGCTTTATAACACAACTGTTAATTTGAATAACCTCTTTTTATATTTTTACCCATTTTATCTGAATTTTTATACAGCATTTGTACCGAATGCATAATTACAGACAATAGCAATACAAGTGCATGGTCATGCCATGTGAAGAACTCAGGTATTTGGTTAGATAAAAGAGTTATACTGAATAATACATAATAAGACAGAGTTGAGATTAAAACTAATATAAGAACCAATTCTTGCTTATCCTGAAGCAAAATGAACCAAAGTTCTGAGACAGAAAGATGAGAAGAAAGAAAACTTCTATAACAACGACAACAACAATCTGGATTATTTGCACTATAGCTCTAAGGCAAACAAATTCAAATGTCATTATTTTCTCTACAGAATTTTTCTCCCCTCAAATAACATCTGCAAAACCATTTTTCATTGGGGCCCCCTTTCAAATAAATAATTTCAAACTAATCCAAATTTTTTTAAAAAGGAAAACCGAAAAATTTTGTACGTGAACCCAAAAAAAAAAATAACCCGAAAAAGAGGACGCAATAAAAAAAGTCAAAACCTTTCAATAAGTTTTTCTTTAGGGGGAAGAAGACCCCCATGGGATTACTTCAGGGGAAAAATGGGCCCCCCTAATAGAAAAACCCGACCAAAAATTTTTCATAAGCAGGGGTGGGAAAAATTTCCCCAAATGAAAGGGAAACCAAAGTTCCTTGGGAGGATTCGAAAACCCCCCAAAAGGGGGGAGTTAAAAGGAAAAATTTACCTTAAAGGGTTGTCCCCCAAAAAATTTAATTCCCCAAATTTTTTTTCCCAAAAATTCCCTTACAAAAGGTTTTACTGAACCTTTTTTAAAATTATAAAACAATTCTAAAAATTATGGGGTTTTTTTTCAAAAAAATGTATTTATTTTTATTCATATCTGTGTAAAGCAGAGGTTAAACAACATCAGTGAACTCGGGGATATTTTATCAAAAGTGAAATTCTATATTTATTCAAACTATATGCAAATGACAGCATTCCTCGATTTCTAAAACTTTGAATAGATTTTATTTGCATTAGAAGATATTCAAATAACTTTTACCATCAAACGTAAGTCACTACCACAGGCCTGATGATATTTGATCTAAGGGGCGTGAAATTGCCTTCCTAATCCTTTCTTTACGCCTAATGCTACCCATAATGCATCACATTATTAAAGCCACGATTGTCACCTACTGTGGCAATTATAAAAATATTCTATAGTACTTAAAATTTTGAGATATTATACATTAGAAAAACTTTATTACATTTTTTATGTACATGTTTAAGACATCATTCCCCCCTAAAAAAAATTTGTCATCTTTATGAACATTCACTGCAATCTTAATGACTCATGTAATTTTTATATCTCTTATCAACAAATCTTTGTATTTTGCTAAAATTTTTATATGAATGAGTTAAATTGTATCTGAAAAAGAGTCCAGTAAAGATTTAAAGTATAGCCAGTTATGTCACGAGAGTCTGAGCCAGTAGTGAAGCATTAATGAGTAATTTTTAAAGGAATAGGAATGGATGGATTGATGTCTGTCTAATATAAATATTCATCATTTAAAAAGAGGAACCATGACAGTTTTCCTATTGACATCAACCCTATAAGAGAGAAATTCGTGTTTTAAGACACTATTTTTTACTTGAGAAATAAGTTCATGGGCGCCGCCATTTTGGCGTTCTGTCATTCTCGCGAGACAAACGAGACCGAGATTGTGACGTGTTACACCCACTTCCGGTATAGGTGTACACGCTGGTACAACTGAAATATATCTTGATGAATTATTAAGAACTTATTAATTTTATTGCGTATATTATTTATGAAAACATCATATGGAACTGAATTGCTTTAATTAATTAATTGAAGACGCCGCAACATTAATTATCATTTGTCCGATATTCAAGCTTGCTGATGATCCCACCACATGATTTAAGCAATGACTGCTTAATTTTCAAAGATAAACCATAAATTTAATTTGGGTACTATGAGAAACTTCTTCAAATTGACGATTAATCCTTTTATTTTGTACTTAATTTTCGCTAGACAAGCTGTCCAAATAGGGTACATCGCCGGTCATGTATCTTTTTTTCAGGTAAAATATCAACTAAATCCAATATGCTGAGGACGCGATTTTCCGCCATTGACGCTAAAAATGAGAATGGCGCAGGAAAATCGGCAGCCAGACTAATATCGTTTGAAAACAAAACTGTCCGTTAGGTTATTTAGGCACCCAGTCAAAACTGGTACCAACAGCAACAGGTTGCCCATTCCCCTATAATTACGCATATTCTCGGGTTTATCCAGTTCCCTAAAGCTTTTTTCCACGTTATCTACTTACCCGACAGATACGCATTTCTACTACCGTAAATTTAATCCAATAAAACAAAAAATCATAAATCTACTTAACATTTAAAATGATTATTGGTAACTGAAAAAAAATGTGTTGCTATTTTATAATGTGCTGTAATTTACTACAGTATAATTTGACAGGTGTGGAACGTAATTCCCTCCAAAGTCATTCAGTTCACTGATGAAGCGTAAAAAAACAGATGTCTATTTCGTCATTAGACTATTTGACAAGGGTGATTAACCAATCAGGGCAACAATGTGCATGATCAAAAAGTATGTCGGCACAGAGGCATACAAGGTGCAATAAAAATCGTCAGTACACAGTGTGACACGAACATTTGGTGCAAATTAGGAACAATTAAAATGGACAATGCGCAGTATTAGACATAAGTAGTAAGAACCAGCAATTGTGTGAATAAATTATGCAAATTAGATTTTTTAGCAGCCAATAAAAATGATTTGCCTGCAGTTAATATTAGGCTACGATTACGATGGGCAGCATCATACGTTGACAGACATGTTATAACAATTTACTTTTCAAAAGAGTTGCTTATATTTTTGAAATGTGAACATCAATTAAATCATATGTTCACACCTTTAAATTTGAAAGTCAGAATCAAACTGCAAAAATTTAATTATATGTACTATTAAGAACACGTTTTAGTAGGGTTTTTATAATGGAAGTGGCTAGAGTACGGGCCCGTACGGCTAGCCAAAAGTTTTAGCCGTACGTGAGTCACGTACGACTAGCAAGGACACACTGGATTGGCTAGCCGTACGGCACTTTTCAAAATTTCATGGAAGTGTTATGTTATGACTTTAAGCGAGGATTTTAACCAAGAAACAGCATTAATTGTCTTCGGATGTTAACTTTTTAGAGATTAATCGCCTTCATCGCTATATATATCGATCTTTGTCATCGCAAGATGTCGAGAAAAAATAGCCTTTGCTTGCATTTACACCAATTGAAATAGTTTACAAATTTTGATAATAATCCTTTTTTGTTTCATTAAGTTTAATTTTCGACACCTTTAATATGAAAAAAAAAACACAACAACAATCACTGAAAATGATTGTTGTAAGGCTCTTGATAATTGCGACAATTACCGACGGTACATGTAAAGAAGTTTGTCCATCAAAGAAAGTTTGCATGTTCCGTGAAAGGCATTCTAAAATTCTATTGTCAGTCCCTGGATAGGTTTTAATTAAGGCTAATTAATTGATTGACTGTCCTTTTATGTTCGATATTTATCTACTGTTTTGAAAATTATATTATAATTATTTTTGCATTTCACCGTGTTTTTTTTTTTCATTCAATGTTCTTTTTATTTATTTATTTATTCCACTCCGATCATTTTTACTTCGATCCATGTGCTTCAAATTAACAAAAATGATTTAATAATTCATACAAATAAAACAACAAATGATAAGCATGAAAATTAACAATTTTTGAACGTTCGACTTCCATATAATTTTGAAAAGTGCCGTACGGCTAGACAATACAGTGCGTCCTGGCTAGTCGTTCGTGACTCACGTACGGCTAGAACTTTTGGCTAGCCGTACGTTTCTTTATTTTTTTTTTTTTTTGATATTGTTACGTATTTTGAACCATAAAAAATCCCCTCTTCACCTCCTGTGAAAATTAAATTGTCTAGTCAATACTTTATTATATTAATATTTCCTTACGATTCAACTAGATTTATCATGAATCTAAAGATGTGGGGAAATGACATCACGCGCACCTGTTTTTATACGGCCAATACACAAACATGGCCGCGCTTACTGATTTGTAGAAATCGGTGATTAAGCGATTTAAATTTTGTTATCATTCGTTTAATATTATTATTTGGCGGCAGAAAATTTGCAGATTTATTATTTATAGTATTCTTTTTCTGAAATCAAGTTTTTATTCTAACCTTGTCTTTCCCTTTAAAGTTGTTTTTACTCAAACATGGTCTAGCATATTTGTAGCCGGTAGTAAATGGCAATTTCACCAGCTGAGTATTTAAGCTCCATGATAAAGTAAGTATCCCTTAAGCTGGACTCAAGCTTAAATATCATGATATTGTCCCCTCTGTGCAGTAATGGGTTAACTCCTAGCTATTAAAATA